AGAAAAGAAAGGATCACGGGCACGTGATCGGTCAATGTGCTTCTTACTCACAGCTGATTTCTTTGTTTTTTTTTTTTTTCGTTCTTTCTAACACACCCCCGACACTCCTCCGACACTTATCGCCTGTGTTGTAATAAAAAAAAAAAAAAAAAAAAAAAAAAAAACAACGCATGTGTTTTCGTTTTTCGTTTTGTCTTGTACACCCCTGTTTATCTTGAATCCGAACTTTACCCCGTTCGCCCGCTTCCGACTGTGCACCCCGTGGAGAAAAAAAATTCCCATCCCTGTCTCGCGTCTCCGTCGAAAAAATGAAACGAAACCCCCCCTCCCTCGAATCTCCCGATCCCAGAAGAAAACTCGACTGAAACCACGACTCGGGAAGAAAAGTCCTATTATTACGAGATCGTCGAGGAGGATACGAAAACCGAGCGGCGTCCCAGCTCCGTGAAATCGAAAAGTCTCGCCTGGCCACCCCGTAAACCGATCGAGGATACCACCTATCCGACCGCGAGTCCTTTGTACATCGACCCGAATCCGGCCCTCGATCGAGGTAGCAGGCAGGCGGTGAGGGAGAAGAAGGCTTGCATCGAGGCCTGCGAGAGAGCTCTGACGAGGAAGAGGGGCGAGAGCACGGATCGCGAGGTGGAGAGAGCCATGGATCGGGTCAGTTGTCCGGGGCCAACTTACAGAAGGGTCGAGCTGGTCCACGAGACGAGTGCGGGAAGGCAGTCGAGAGGCGAGATAACGACGTCGAGTCGGCCTAGCTCGACCGACTCGAGCGTTAGGAGATCGTTGACACCGACCAGGATCGTTCAACCGGTGCCGAAACCTTGGACCGCCACCGTGACGACCGGCGCCAATCTATACGAGCAGAGTTACGGGATCGAGCCGGCGAAAGTGTGCAAGAAATACCATCAGAAGGAGATATGCCAGAGGGAGCGTATATGCGAGAGGAGTCAACCATTCCGGGAGGAGCATCGCTCCTATCGGTCCGAGATTTGCAGACGGGAGCACACCGTTTGCGAGAAGCCACCGTTGCCCGTCCAACACGTTGCGAGGCAAGAGGAGGCGAGGGAGGAGATCACGGAGATCGACAAGGAGGTGACCGATTTGAGGCCGGCGGACGAGATCGAGGAGGAAGGCGCGGGGATCAAGGGGGAGCACGACTTCGTGACGGAGACGTCGGAGGAGGACGTGGATGGGATGCACGTGAAGAAGAAAATGACGTTCGAGAAGACTGTCGAGAGAATCCCGTCTCCCGCGCGCCCCATCCCCTCCCCTTCCCCCACGGCCGTGGAGGAAGAAAGAAGGGAGGAGGAGAAGGAGGAGAGGGAGGAGGCGGTGGAGGAGAGGGTGGAGGAGACGGTGGAAAAGTCGGAGGAGATCTACGAGAGGAAAACGTCGACCCACGTGGACAGGCAAGTGGAGGAGACGGAGGAGAAGACGGTGGTCGAATCCGCGGAGGTGGTCACCTCTGCCGTGGACGTGCAACAGTTGGTGGAGAAAGCGAAGCGGGAGGAGGAGGAGAGGAAACGGAGGAGGAGGAGGAGGAAAGGCGGAAGGTGGAGGAGGAGGAGCGGAGAAGGAGGCAAAAGGAGGCGGAGGAGGAGGAGGAACGAAGGAGACGCGAGGAGGAGGAGCGTAGGAGACGGGAGGAAGAGGAGGAGCGGAGCAGGCACGTGACCTTCGAAGAGGAGGCGGAAGAAGTGGAGGAGGTTCGGGAACAACCTCTGGGAAGGACGGTGGTCCGCGAGGAGAGGGTGACGGAGGAGGAAAGCGACACCCCCGGGAAGAAGAAACTGGTGAAAGAGACTTACGAGGAGATCACGGAAGAGGTGTTGGTCCAAGAACGCGTGAGAAGGAAGGGAACGATCGAGGAGGATCGGAAGAAGAGCCTGAGGGAACAGGTGCAGGTCCATCAGAGTTTGAGGGATCAACAAGCGCCCAAGGATCGACGCGTGTGCTCCAAGTATCCCCCGGCGCAGGAAATCATGGAGACCAATAAAAAACGCGTCCAATTCGTGAAGCAGACCGACACGGGCCCGAAACCGATACCGCATTCCGCCCTTCAGAACTCCACTCCGAAAGAGTGGAAATCCGAGATGGTGAACGCATTGACGACCGCGCCCGACCGCCCTTACACGCCTCTCAGCACGTCTTCGAGCGTGAAAGAAGTGTACACGGAAGAGACGATATATTTGGATCACAGGTGTCGGCCTAAACCACCGCTGAAGGAGGAACTCCGGCCGATCTCCCCGTTTCAGGAGGCGCTCATGATCGCGCCGGAGCGGCCGTACACGCCCCTCAGTCGCGAGATCGGGCCGGACGATCAGAAAATCGCGAGCCGTTCCCAGACTCCCGTGCTTCAAGGGGGCGCCCATTGCCCCCCCTCCGATATCCTGTTCGGCGAGGGGAAAATCCGCGCGGAGCCGCCTCCCAAACCGTCCACCCCCCGACCATTGCCCACTCCACCGCCGGATTATCGGCTGAGGGACTCTTCCCCCGTGAGATCGAGGCCGCAGACACCGTGCAGCAAAGCTATAACGGCCACGTTGAAGAAGCCCGACACTATCCCCTCTTATCAGAAATATTTAGTGGCAACGAGGAAAGGCGCGGTGGAGAGTCACACGTACCAACCGAGTAGAACACCCACCCCGACACCCGGAAGATCCAAGTCGCCTGCTCAAGGTCCGCCGGAGCCACCCTCCTGCTTCGTCAAGGCCCACGCGCCGAGAATCAGGGACGATCCTCCGCCTAAGCGAAGCGCCATACACTTCCCCACCAAGAAAAGCGTTTCTTACAAAATAGACGAGGACACGGATGACGGGCACAGGCACGCCGAGTACGTGGCGAGCAAGACGGTGGATTTCGACGAGAAACGAACCGACGACCCGGGTCAAGAACCCACGGATGCGGTCCACGCTCAATATCAGGAGAAACGGTACATGACCAGCAAGGAAACGCACGAGCAAAAGCAGTCGGTGACGAAGAAATCGCTCGAAGTCACCGAAGACTTCGAGAGATGCGAGAAAAGAGTCCCAGCTCGACCATTGCCAGAGCCACGGGAGAGACCGCCTAAACCGTCCGTCTGCGCCATCGGTAGAACGAGCCCCTCTAAACCCTCCTTGCCTTGCCCCATGGAAACGACCCCCTCTCCTCAACCGGTGTACAGCAGCTCGACGGAGGTGCGTCACGTTAGTTATGCAACTCCACCGAGATCGAAACCGTGCCCCGACACCGGCGTAACGGTGTTGCCGTGCAAAGCGCACTCCGACCAAGGCACGAAAGCGGGGGTGGTGGTGGTTCCTTGCGAAGGGCCGATCCCTTGCTGCGAAAAATCAGGGGTGTGCGTGGTCCCAACCTCGGACCGGTCGGGAGTGTGCGTCTCTCCCTGCCTCGGGACGAAAAGCTCGGGGATCTGCGGCCAACCGTCCGGCCGTTGCGGCAAAGAAGAGCCAGCCTGCGACATCGAGATCCCTCCCAATTGCCCGGAATCCGGAATCTGCGTATCGCCGTGCCCCGATGGATCGGTTTGCGTGGCTCCTTGCACCAAGCCCGGCCTACCTCCCTCGAGGGCCAAACTTCCCTTCCCTCAGATACCTTTCCCCTACGAGGACGCCCCCCCACCTTGCTCTCAAAGTAGGAACTCCTTCGAGCCTATTCACAAGCCTCGCACTAATTTGAGCGGGCAGCTAGCGCGGCTTACTTGCAAAACCGGCAGAACCGGCCACAACGTTCCCACCGTGCAATTGTACAAGCCCGAAGCTCAACAACAATGCCAAAAAGCTCGAAGCTGCAGCGAGACTAAGAGCTATTGCTGTAAAAGCTATTCTTCCTCCACCGAAACCCGTTGTCAATCGAATGGTCAATGCTCGACCAGTTGCCAATCCACCAGAGATCAATGTCAGACCCAAAATTACTGTCAGGACGGTATCCATTGTGAACCCTCTAGTAATACCCAAAGTTTAGTAGACCCACCAAATTTGTCATCCCACCCGGATCTAGGTACCGGAGTCGGTGGCCTCGGTGGTGCCGGGTCCAAGAGCGGAACTTTCGCTGGTAGCAGCGCGCCAAAGCGAGGAAGGGGGATCCTGAACCAAGCAACTGGACCGGGATCACGATTGCCCCTCTGCGCCCATTGCAACTCTTACGTCAGGTACTCCCCCTTTGCTGTGCTAGGTGTGCCGATTGTTGTTGTATTTTTTTTTTTTTTTTCTCAATGTTTGCCGCACTCTCCTTCTTATCTTTACCTTCGTCCTCCATCATCGAACGACGATGATTTTTTGAATAGCTTTTTTTTTTTTTACCTCGTTGTTCGTTCCGTCAACGTACGTACGCTTGGGGAAGGGGAGTCTCTCTCTCTCTC